ATTTTTTTTAATTACGATTTGCGTCTTAGCATACCTGTCGATGTAGAAGGTTTGCTTGCATAATGGAAATATTATAACAGTAATGATGACGACATGATTTTCGTTAAATAGAAATTCATAATTTGCCTGATTGAGATCCTTCTCTTTTTTCCCTTATTGGTATCTTGTCATACTAAAAATTTTCATTCACGGTGAATGTCTTCCATCCTTATTAAAGAAGGAAAAAAGCAGGTGTACAGGAGACTAGCCACTCAGGTGAGCTAGAAAGCTAAGGTAATTTGCAGTTTGATGTGTACCATTGATTAAGTTAATTTGCAGTTGTGATGTATCATTGAAAAGCTAGCTGCAATTGCAAGATTGATGAATAATGAACAAAAGAAAATGCAACCAACCAGCCATCTTATATATGAAATCTTATTCTTTTAGTTGAATCAGAGATTAGGTTTTCAAATTATCTCCTCTGTGGTGAATATATTGTTTTGTAAGTTTGATGGCAGAGTTCCCGAGTAAAATACCTACCTCAGTCTGGAATTTTTGGTTGCCACAATCTTCTCCTCCTCTGCTAAATTACTCTTTTGGCTACTGTATATTTGGGATCATTGGATACATAAGTGACCAGTATATCACAAAAGACTCTTTTTGTCTTCTTATATTAGTTCATGTGATGGAATAAACATAGCAGCAACAGTAACAATAATGCTGATAGTAACGAAGGTTACAACGACAATAACCTTTGATCAGATAATAATAATTATAGTAACAGTAAAAATAACAATAGTAACGATTCGTACAATAACGAAAGAGAGCGGTGGTGGTCGGTGGCAAAAGCGACGAAAGAGGTAGTCGTCTGTGACTAAGGTAAAGAAGTGGCAAATTGGAAACAAAAGTATTTGAGTACCATGCCAAAACACCATCAGAAATTTTCTCCTTTAAACTTGAGATTCACAACCAATTTAGACGTATATGTGTATCTGTGTATGCCATCCCTACCAAAAAAATAATAACCATGGAGGTTGTAGTCACTACAGCTTATGCTGTCTGCAATTGATGTCATTTTGTATTAATATTATATGTATTTTTCTTATAATATCGTCTTTTTTTTTAATTACTACGTAGATATTTTTTAAAAATTATTCGGTTGTATTAAATTTTTATAAAATCTCGTAACTTGCAAAATAAATAAATATATATGTATATAAATAGTTGAGAATTGCTTTTATAAATAAAATCAAATGTAAGTTTCCTATTCTTGATATAATTGTATTTCTTTTTTATAAAATTATGGTGTTTTCTTAGCAATTTTTTTTATGTATATTATATTTAGAAAAACAAAAACTATGTATTTATATATAAATTAAAAAAATAATAATAATACTTTTCAGATTTATTTATTTATTTATTTATCGACAGTGACTCGTCTTTCTTCTCCTCCATCCCCTCACCTGCTTTTTACAAGCTTTTAAAGGCGAAGGCGGCGTGTAAAAATACAAGACCTTCATTTTCTTCGATGGCATCCCTTCTCCTCCTTCCATTTTCACTTCTTCTTCTTCTTCTTCTTCTTCTTCTTCTTCTTCTTCTTCCTTCTCTTAACTAATCAATAATAGAACCAGCCATGCCATCCCAATCATCCTCTCTCACCTTCTTCATTTCCTCTCCCTTCTGCTCCCTGTCCCTGCAATCCCATCATCACAACCTCTCCGTTCCTCATCTTCCTCCCGCTTCTAAATTATGTTGTACCGACAAGGTGATTTTCACTTCTCTTTTATATTACTTCCTCTGCTTGTTAATTAGCTTTTTCCTTTCAATTAAATTTGATTCTGCGGTGATATAAGATGGCGATATGTTTTTGTAGTACCAGCTTTTACTTAAGAAGGTTTTTTTTTTTTCCTTTTTCTTTCGTGTTGTTCTTTGATAATGTATAGTCTGGTATATACTGATTATTATTCCATTTTTTTGTCTTCTCTGTTTCTTTCTTCCTCTCTCTTTTGGTGTAGTTGAATGTATCAAATGTTCGCATAGGCGTGTCCAGGTTGCGACCTAGTGCTCTCCTGGTTAAGGCTTTTGATGGGGTAACTTTCTCTTTTGAATTTTGAATTTGAGCGATTTTGATGATGAGTCTCTCTCCATGGACACGTATGTAGCTCTGTTCTGTCAGAATTTTGATTTTAGATTTTATTTTTGGTAGTGTTATTGATATTTTTCACCATTTAAGCGCACGCGTTTGAGGTGCATCCAGATTAGAAAATAACACTAATGCATGAGTTCAAAGAACTTTGTAGTATCATAAGATACATTCATGAAGTTACAGCTGCAAACTCATTATTTTATATTCATCTATGTATTGCTGTTGCATTTATGGGAGTTCCTGCCTTTGGTTCTCTAGGATGTGTCTGATTTTTCTTCATTCGATAACTGGGGTAGTGATGGGGCGGCTGGATTTATTATTTCGTCAAGTGATGGTGAAGATGGTGATCCAGATTATGTTCTGAATCCAGTTAGTGATGTTGATCTGCCATCAGTGCATACATCAAGTAATGATGCTCTAACAATGGGTGCTCATAGGTTTGGAATGATAGGAAGAGGGCACAAAACACACAGGCAAGTCTTTTCAAATTCACAATTTTAGCTAAACTTGTTCGTGCCCAGAACTTATCAATATTTCACCATTTTTAAGAAATGAGGAAAATCATCCTTCCTTTGTTAAATGTCTATGTTGACACATCCGTTTAGATAAAATTGCCATGTCCAGTGGGGTTCTTTGTTGTGATGTCTGGTTTACTGAATTATTGCATGGAGAAACTTGTTGAAATCTTGGTTGAAAACAGGACCATTATTTCTAAGAGAAAAGATTGTTTGAGTGACTGCTTCTCTGTTTTGGCTGATTAAAGTGCCTAAAGTAGAGGGTCGTCATTCATACAGCTTTTGAAATCTGATGTAGCAAACATAGATCATGAAATTTCTCGCTCGCTTTCTCGCTCCCTCCTATCTCTGGGATTTGTTCATATTCGGAAGTAAGGCATAACTTGCCTATATGGAAGAGTGTCCTACTGCAGGTTCATTTGAAAAATGCTTTGTTTAAATGAGATATGGGAACCCAAAAAAAAAAAAAGAAAGATAAAGGAAAGAAATAAGAGAGTAGGTAAGAAATGGGAGAGACATATAGGGAATTTGATGGAAAAGGGGAAGAAACATGACAAAGAAACTAATAAATCTAATAATAGATAGAGACGGTATCCATATTCCTAATTCAGTAATCCTAATAGCGAGGTGTTTAGTCTTGTAGGAGAAGCATAAGTGCCAAATACTTGGAGTATAAGTACTTTTGATTAGTTGTTGTTATGGCAGAGAGAGTATTTAGTTAATAATTAAAAAATTTCTGTTGACATTTATAATTAAAATAAATAGTATTTTTCATTTAAAATATGAAACTAAAACTAAAATGAGCTGATATTATAAGTTCATCTATTTTCTTCTTTATCTGGAGAAATTCTTTTTTTGTACTAAAAGACATACATTTATTTTGAAGTTTATGTCTTGATTCTTCTTCGTGCTATCTTGACATGTTACATTGTATTATTCCACACATACTCATAGCCATGATGTCATGACTTCAACTATTAGTGGTACATTCTTGTAATTTATTTTTCGTACTCTCTTTTGTTCCCTCTTCCATAAAACCTATGTAACATGAGGAGGTTGAACCATTTGGAAAGCATCAGGTACTTGAAGGCAATAGTATAATGATTAATTGTCAACGTAAAAGAGAATGTAATTATTTCAAAAAATAAATAAAAAATGAAAAAGAATTTAATTTTTGAACAGTGATACCAATACTTTAGGTATTATAGAACATCTTTAACAGTACAAATTTACAAAACATCACAGCCACTCGATAGAAGCAAAAAAATATGCAGAAGTAATAACTTTTCTTCTCAAGGCAACTGTCTTTCACACCCAGGCATGAACTTTTTATTTTCAGGTTTTTTCAAAATTAGATTGTTAATGGCTGGCGTCTTATTGTATTCAACTGGCCAAGTAAAGTGTGAGATTAAGTTTCAAGCTGTACCTTTCTTGCCTGTGTTATTTTGGTCATAGTTGTTAGACACAGGCCCAAGTTCCTTCTGTCTCGATGATAATAGTCGAAATCTGTTTATGAAATTACCATTTTGTGCATTAATAAGATTTCTGTAGATTGCACCAAACAGGGCTGTTATTATAACTATCCCCACAATGTCATGTACTGCAATGAATTTTGTCGAGACAGTTAACTATTGGATTTTAATTGTATTCACCTGGGCTTATGGGATTTTGGAGTTATTCCACAAAAGGTTTGATGTAAAGCTTAAATCTATATCTTGCTTACTTTTGAATAGTTTTGAAACATTTTCTCATAATTAAGAAATTACAGTTCTGTATTGTAATGCTAGACATTTTCATCAGCAATTTTCAGTCTCCATGGATAGATTGGTGTTTTTGGCTAAGGTGCATAGGTGTTTTAGGGGGATCTCTATGTAACTATGTCCATCTGACAAAGGGAGTGTTGCCATTGCTATATTGATGATTATTTTACTTTTTCTTCCCCTTCTATTGTCCTTTTGGTTTCTTCCTGTTGTCTTTATTTGGAGTATATCTCGTCCTCCTACCTTGGTGGTGCTTTCTTTCTAATATAGTTTCTTCTTTCATTAACATAAAAAGAAAGTACAGTTGTTTTTTGATTAAATTTAATTATGCGCATCAAGGTGTGCTGTTATCAGCTATCCAAGGAAACATTTCTCTCAGTGCTGTAAGTTTGAAGATGTACTTAAATATAGTCAAATATAAAAGAGTTGTTTCGTAAATCTTTTTGCCGCCCATCCTGCCAAAGATATTCAACTCTAGTGCTATTACATCTAAATCACTATAGTCCCGGAATAAGGGAGTAGATTTTCCATGATGGTGATGATCAGATTTAATATTGCTTACACATTTACTACTGTTTTGACATTCGGATCCCATATTTGCAGGATCAGACATGGACTGTTTATCACTTTGGGACTGATAGCCTTCCTGACAGTGCTACTTTTATTTGTGGACTGTTGTGCATGGAAGATTGTTAGACTACCCTTGGCTCCATTTTACTTGACCCGTCCCTTTTTCATATCAGCAGCGTTGGTCTCATTTGCAGGTTATATTTGCGTCCCACTGCTCAGAAGTCTGAAGTTTCATCAAATTCTTAGGAAAGAGGGACCAGCTTTGCACTCCAGTAAAAGCACAACCCCAGTAATGGGTGGATTATTTTTCATACCAATTGGTGTAGCTGTTGCAACTATCATAGCTGGTTTTTCTTCTACTGAAGTTTGTGCAGCAGCAGCCTCAACCCTTGCATTTGCTGCAATAGGACTTCTTGATGACATCTTGACCATCATAAAGAAACATAATAGTGGTTTATCTGCATGGTTAAAGTTGTTTTTGGAGGTAAATTTTTTTCCACTGCTTGCTTCCTTCTCTTATTTCACATTTTAAATGCTACTTGTCTCTATTAACAACAAATAATTTCTAGTTGTTATTCATTGCAGGTAGCTGTTGGTTCCGGCTTCTCATTTTGGGTGGAGGCTTCAACTATATCATCACCTTATGGCATGTATAGCTTCTTCTAACTAATCTGATCAACATTTATCTGATGGTAACTCACATATCTATTCTTGTTACAAATGCCAGTATGTATTAAATTTACTACAGGAAGACAAGGTTATACTATTCTTTCAAAGATTAACACCTAATGCTTGCATGTATATTCAGGTTGTTACATTGTAAATAATAAGCCAGTTTGAGGACCTTCATAAATATGTGCTCCTCCATCCTAAATAAAAATGCAAGGGAAAGTTTGTATAACAAACATAAGGGAAAAGGACATGTTAATTAGGTTTCTCATATTCAATATATACAATTTAGTTTTAACAATTTCAATATTTGTAGTTTAATTCTTAGTCAGATAATATAATACCTTTAGTTTGAACAAATGAACAGTTTGGATTTTTAAAAAATTTGACATGTGGAAAACTTATATTTAGACTATCCAAAGTCTAAAAAGAAGTCGACAATTTTTTTAGTTTTAGTACACATACTTCCCTGAGTTTCTAAGTCTGGATTTTTTTAAAAAAAAATTGTATTTAAAGGTTTACTGTTTAGTTTAGTTTTAATTTTTAAAATTTTTTTAAATTTTGATCTTTTAATCATGGAAAACATAATCTAAACCATTAATGTTGTTTAAAATCGGGACTGTCCACATATTTAAATTAGTGGTGTTATATTACCTGACTAATGGTTAAATTATGATTATTAAAATTATAAAAATAAATTACATCTGCTGAATCTGAAAATCTCCAACCCACAAGTTATGAAACTGTAATTTATCTGAAAAATAAATAAAAAAGGAAAGGGAAATGAGTATTACATGAAAGAAAATTAATCAAAAAATTGAGAACTAGGTTACAGGGGAAATACAAAGGAATATACAAAAGAGAAGCTTCTACAACCAGTGGTATTATCGTCAGAATAGATTCCTTCTGTAACAAATAGCTCAGTTTAAGTGTTACATGTTTGCTTTTTGTTGGTTCTTCAGTTTCTTTCCTCTCAGCTTTTGGAGTTTCCTGCACCTTTTACCTTCGTGAGGCTTAATTGTTCTGCAAAGTCTCTCTTTTTTGTCTGTTGATCTCAATTATTTTTCTTTTTGACAATTAGCTTATGGAAGACATTATTTTACCTATTGCTTAATATCAGCTATCCACCTTATTTAAATGGAATTTATGTTCTTTCTAATGAACACTAACATCCTTTAAGCTTATGATATCTAGTTTGATTTGTCAGGTCATGCACCAGAGGGACAGTTCTATGACGTTCCTATATGAGTATAAATAAATAATAGCTTTGCGTGGATTGGTTCTTTCATTCCTCTCATCTAATTTCATATTTTGTGGCAGGAAAATGTTGGTTCCTTTACCTGCTCCACTTGGCCTGGTGTATTTGGGAAAATTGTATTTATTGTTGACTTCATTTTCCTTTGTTTCAATGGGAAATGGAGTCAACTTGACAGATGGTCTTGATGGGCTGGCTGGAGGGACTGTCGCATTGGCTTTTCTTGGAATGTCAATTGCAGTACTCCCTATTTGTTCAGGTTAGTTTTACTCTTGATAGGGCTTTTCATCTCTAACCTAAAACATAGATAGCATTGATCCTTGCTTTGGTTTGAATTTGTATTGGCTATGAGCTATACCGAATGAGGGATTTATTTAAAAAAAAAATAGCATTGATCCTTGCTTTGTTTCAATTTGTATTGGCTATGAACTATACTGAATGAGGGATTTATTTAAAAAAAAAATTAGTGTTGATCCTTGCTTTGTTTCAATTTGTATTAGTTATGAGCTATATTGAATGAGGGATTTATTTTTAAAAAAATAGCATTGATCCTTTCTTTGTTTCAATTTGTATTGGCTATGAGCTATACTGAAAGAGGGATTTATTTAAAATGCCTAAAAGTTTGTGATGCTTCATGTGTTTGGTTGGGGAATAAGGAAATACATTTCACACATTTCATACATAATCACATCTCTTCTTATAAGAGATGTTCCTCCTTTTTATGTTTGATTTTATCTTTTATTTTTCTCTTAGTTCATGAAGCATCATTCATTATTTCTGTAATGTCCCTAGCTCAAAAGCCACTATCCAACAATTTCCGGACCTAAACCACTAACCTTCAAAAATTCGAGCTCCAGTTATTGGTTCCATATAACTTGAACTTTTATATCGAGTTCAACTGTTACATATCTTTCCATTGTGAGATTGGAGCATCAAATTTAAGTCCTTTTGTTGCAAAGGAATCTTAAATCTTCCAATTCTTTCGGACTTTTAGCTAATATATTGTGGGGTATGGGAGAAGATCTTAATATGCTTAGCGGACATGTTTCATGTTTCAAAGATTGACTTGCAAGCTCAATATCTGAAATTGGCATGTAAATTTCCCTGTGTCATGAATGCACCAGGACAGTTCACGAATTTTCATGGTATATTTTTCTAAAGGATATGCTTGCTGTTTTGTTGCAGAAATTTAATTTTCAGACATGCTTTTATGAATATATTGTGCTATATATGATGTCAACTTTACTTTCATGCAGTCTTCTGCATCACTAACTAGTTTGAGATATTCCAAAACCAGAGCTTGCTATATTTGGAGCATCAATGGCAGGAGCTTGCATTGGTTTTCTGTTGTTCAACCGTTATAGGGCATCTGTATTTATGGGTGATACGGGATCCTTGGCTCTGGGTGGGGCACTGGCTGCAATGGCTGCTTGCACTGGAATGTTTCTTCCATTGTTCATTTCATCTGGTATCTTTGTCATGGAAGCCTCATCGGTTATTATGCAGGTACTTTTTTGTTGAGGCTTAATCTCTTTATGCAGATTGCTGATAATTTGTCAGACTTGTTCTTGTCATCACATAAGAATTGCACATTTCAAATCAGTTCGTTTAGGCAGCTTCTGAAATTTTACAACTTGGATCTCTTAGTGTTGCACTTCTTTCTATAATGTCTATTCACCACCATAGTGGGAAAGGAAAGTGGACAGTTAATAATGTCTCTTATGGTCATTCACTATTTCCTATCCCGTCACCTGTTCTTTGCAACAGGCTTCTGCAGTTTTTAGTACTTTCTTTATTCTTCTGTTGTCAGTTGTTTTCTTATGATATATATGTGGTAGTTATTCTGAAGAAAAAAAGCAGATCTACCCTCACCATGAAACTGGAGTTTAGCAGCAAGAAATGGCAGTTAAATGCAAGTATTAGCAGAAAGACTCAAGGCTATTTTTGGTATAGGAAAATATTTTTTACTTTTTATTTTCTATACGTTATTAAATAAATACCTGTTAGTATGGGACTTATGGTATTTAAGTGTGAACAAAATGTAGTTTTCTGGACAATTTTTAAAACATACTTTTATTATTTTCAAACTCATGCCACATATTTACATTTTATTTTCTAAATATTATTTTTCGTTTTAAAATTCCGATATTTGTGTCTATAAACATACGGGGAAGATTACAGTTTTAGCAAAAGAGCTATTAATTTTTAGATCTAGTAGTTGGGAGGGTTTTTTCAGGTATCACCTCCAATGGGCACACAGCCCTTGTGGCTAGTCTCTGTGTTTATTTATTTATTTATTTTTTCGTTTTATGTAAAATCATGAGTTTTTTA